CGACGATGGCACTTGGAGAGAATGAGTCAATAAAGGTACATGTGTGTCATCGATGGGTCATTCCTAGACTTCTTAATCTTCAAATCAACGAAAGTCATCATACGTCCGTTGGGGTGATTGAAGAAGAGGATTGGAGGCAACCATTGATAGATTTCCTTGAACATGGAAAATTACCCGAGGATCTGCGACAAAGAACAAACATCAAGCGAAGGGCACCACGATTCATTTTCTACAAGGGGACATTATTTCGCTGCTCTTTTGAAGGACTATTCTTGCAATGTCTTGACAAAGAAGAAGCCCACTAAGAGATAGAGGAAGCATATTCTGGCTCATGTGGAGCACACCAATCTGGTCCTAAGCTCCATTTTTGCATCAAGAGGATGGGCTACTACTGGCCGACAATGGTGAAGGATTGCAAGGAACATGCCAAAAGATGTCAAGTGTGTCAATTCCATGCCAACTATATCCACCAACCTCCGAGCCTCTTCATCCAAATGTAGCTTCATGGCCTTTTGATGCATGGGGACTTGACGTTGTTGGATGGCTTCCAAAGTCATAAAGGGATAGATGTACATATTGGCTGCCACAGACTACTTCTCTAGATGGGCTGAAGTTGTTCCACTCAAGGAAGTAAAAAAGGAAATTGTTGCCGATTTTATCAAGGCGAACATAATTTTTAGGTATGGCTTACCAAGATACATAATCATTGATAATGGAATGCCATTTGACAACAAGCTCGTGAGGAGTCTATGCGAGAAATTTGGTCTCAAGCAACATAAGTCTTCAATGTATAATGCACCCGCCAATGGCCTTGTTGAAGCTTTTAATAAGACGTTTGGTAACCTTTTGAAGAAAGTTGTTGCAAAGAACAAGAGAGATTGGCATGATAAAATTGGTGAAGCTTTGTGGGCATACAGGACAACCTTTAGAACTACTACACAAGCAACTCCTTACTCTTTGGTGTATGGTGTAGAAGCAGTCCTTTCGTTGGAGCAACAAATTCCATCATTGCAAATCGTAATCCAAGAAGAACTCACGTCCGAAGAGAACGCTCAACTTCGCCTAGAAGAGTTAGAGGCATTGGATGAGAAAAGATTGGAGCGCAACAAAAATTGGAGTGCTATCAAGATCGACTAGCTAAAGCTTTCAACAAGAAAGTGAGGACACAATCCTTCCAAGTGGGAGACTTAGTCCTAGTTGTTCGACGACCCATAATCCTCAACAAACGCACAGGCGACAAGATTACCTCAAAATGGATGGGCCATATGTTATGAAGGAAGCCTATTCAAGTGGAGCATATAAAATTATTGATAAGGATGTCCTCAGAGTTGGTCCGATCAACGAAAACTTTTTGAAGTAGTACTTCCCATGAAAGTCACATGCGCTCCTCGACGTACGAGCCTAAACTGCAAGTCATGACGCTCCTTGACGTACGAGCCTAAACTGTGAGTCATGACGCTCCTTGATGCATGAGCCTAAACTGCACGTTGCTACACTTCTGGCCCGCGTGAGTCTAAACTGTGTACGGTAAAAAAAAGTCCGCTAGGTTGAAAACCTCACAAAAGGTGGCCTAGGCAAAAATTAGGACACAAAAAAAGGAAAAAAAACATATCTCACCCCTCTGAACTACGTTATGACTTGATCCTCTTTATCGAAGTACGTAGGCAACTTAGAGCTTCATTCTAAGTTCAGTCGCATGAGTTTAAAAAGAAAAGGTTTGGCTTAGGGTTCTACATGGATCGGATCAGATCGGATTTAGAAAATTTTGAATTCGAATTTCAGATTTTGGATTCTAGAAAATGCAATCTGAATTAATAGTGGATCGGATTGAATTTTAAAATTTGGATCGGATCGGATTTTCGGATTTCGGATCGGATTATTATGCCTCAAAGTTGCAAACTCATATGTATATTTTCTTTGTAAAAGAAGCAATACAATAAGAAAAGTTCATGTTTCTGGAATTATGAGAGTACTATGGTGCCAATATAGCTAAATCCATTAACTGTAAAGGTAATAACTTGGAGAAAAATATAAAGGAAGTACTAACTATCCAAAATTAAAGTTTAGTATTTATACATACACTAATAATTTTGGATCGGATCAGATTAAAATTATACCAATCTGAATCCGATCCAAAATTCAAAATTTTAATAAACACAATACAAAATTCGATCCAATCCGAAATCCAAAATTGAACGGATCGGTTCGGATTTCGGATATCCGATCCAAATGAACAGCCCTAGTTTGGCTTATGGGATCATCACATTAATTATTTCAAGTATGGAGACATATATAAATATGAGGAAGAAGACAATTTGCGTTGAAGTGTAAAAGATATTTTATTGCTTCAATCTTACAAAAGTTGATACATCAAAAAAATGTGGAGACGAAAGGAATTAGACATCATCCTATACAAAAGCCTAAGTAATGAAAATGATCGCAAACTAGGCTTTGTTGTTGGCGTCTTGAACGCTTTTTCGAGTTTGTATGACATCTCCACATTTAATACTCCATTCCCGATGTACGTCTCTCGCGTTCAATAGCTGTGACGATCTCTTGACCATGGGTCATGTTGTTAGGTCTCGAGCAGAATGTTGCTTCTCTTGTGCAAGTATTAGTTGAAGGTCCCATATGTGAGAAGTTGTCGCTCTTTAAAAAAAACTTCAATCATCGTGGGAACCGCCATTTATGAACTTCAAGACTATCAACAATTCAAGTGCAACAGTTGGTGAAGGGGTGGCTTCGCATGACGATCTACTATAATAATTCTTTCTTTCTTATAGAGATTTTGCATGATCAAAACTTCAACATATATGTATCCTGTATGACATCTCAGTCTTATATTCGGATCCTTTGAGCTCCTTTGCGAGTCTGCAAAAGAAAACGAAGAGATAAGATTTGTGAAGCATGACAGTCAAAGTTACTACATGCAAGATTGGAAAGTCAATTTCAAGATAAAAAATAACATTCGCAAGATAACTCAGAGAGATAGAGATGGAAAGCGAGCTCAACCGGCAACGGGATCAACTTTGAAAAACACTACTACGGTCCATCTGGAAGATGTTATGCCCATAACATTTTGTATGTTGTAGATTTGGATGTCTATTTTCCAACAACACAAACCATTTGCAATTCGGAGGCCCCTAACTCAATATACTATTTCTTTCGCCGGAACTACACGAATCTGAAAGTTACTGCAGCAAGGTGGAGTTTAAGAATTTTCTATTTCCAGCTCGAAAAGAGTTCTGCCGTGAAGTTCGTATGTGTTGTAGCTCTATGAGTTTACTTTCTAACAATGCAAATGGATATTCATCTTCTAGTTGAGGGGGAGCCTCGTGGACTTCATCATCAACGTCAAGGCATGTGCTATCTTCCACAGTTATGTGATAGGATATTTTCACAATTATGGAGTAATTCGAATATGTCCCTATTCAGCCATATCTGAAATAGGACCAAGGAAACAATAGAAATGGCTACAACTATTCAATGTGACAATTATGTCACATACTCGTAGAAGAAAAATTAAATCTAAGGGATTACGGCTAAACTAATATTATATATGAATAAAAGGGATAACTTCCTCTATTCAATTCCTGTATGTATAAATATATGAATAGGGAACTATCCTTTTTTTAGAAAGCCAGACAGAGGACCAATTATGCCTTTAAGAACAATATTACTACTGGAACAATTCTATAGCACTTTAACGTTTGAAAAAAGATAACAAAATCCTCCATGATAACAATTTGTTACGGCAATTAGTCCTATTAACAGTTAATGGCTTTCCAATTAAAAAATTAATTTTAAAGAGCTTAACTCTAAATTCCTTATTTTGTTTTTATATTGTACCCAGAATACATGAATACATGTAATACAGGCCAACAAAGATCACAATACCTTTGTTTGTTTCTTTTATCATATAAGGAAATACATTAAAGGGCCATAAAATTTACCCACAACTAGTTATTGCTTTAGGCAGTGCAAAGACTCCACTGCAGTCTTAAGCCACAGAAAGTGTAACATAGTTATATGTCGATAAGAATAAAACTTTAAGATTCCAAAATAAAAGGTTTAATTATTATTTCTAATTATCAATTTCACTTGAATGAATTTGAAAATTCTCTTCTATTTTTTCTGTCAAGCCAATTATAGACTATACATATCGCATATTCGAGGATATTCGGCTTCAAAGAATCCGTTCTTGGACAAAAGTTACCATCTGCCCTCTTTATGGGTCACTTTTCAAGAGAAATCACTTATTCACCAGAGATCAAAGAAGCCAAATAACTTATCATAAAAGAGTTCACTGATTACGAGAAGTTTGGACCAAAAATGGAACTGGCATTTGGCAACAATTAAGAGCAAATAACGTAGGCTCTGATACCATTATTAATTAAATTCAATAAGAATAGGAACCAGAATTATGTACCTGTTACGCAGTAGAGTAAAATCATAACCCAGAAAAATTGCCCCTAAGTCCAACTTTGATTCTCTTGAAAAATAAAGTATAGTTTGTGGGGTCCAGCCCACATTTTAAGGAAGTTGTTTTCTTCCTTTCTTCTTCATTTTCAAAGTTGGCAGAAGCAGACAGCCCACGTTTCTCATTTTTTTGTCAAAAATGACAGGCTGCAGAAGTTGAAAGGTCAAGGTTGGTAGGCATATTTTGCCTATAAAATGAGAGTTTCGGCTCTCATTCTTTTATCATCAATCTTAGAGGAAAATATATCTGAGAGCTAGAAAGAAAGAGTGGGGTTTCACAGATAGGATATAAGAAAATAGTCTGTGAATAAAATAGAGAGTGTGAGCGATATTGTAGTGAGGTGAAATATCAAAAGAGGGTTATTTCTTTTGAGTATTGTAGTGGTCTTTGTAGTATTTTTACTCGGGCCTACAAAGTGTAAATTCCTTACTATAGTGATATCAGTTGCTCCTCTCGGGGTCGTGGTTTTTCCCTTATTCAGAAGGGTTTTCCACGTAAAAATCTTGGTGTCATTGTTACTCTTTTATTCTTGTTAATTACCGTATCTCGGTGCTACATTATTATTCCGCTTTTATTACCGTGAATATTATTTTGGTAGGGGGTTTATTCACAATATAGTTCCACTAAGTAAATGTCTTTCTTGATGTGTGTTTTACAAGAAAAGGAGAAAACTCTTCTCTGTTAAAGAAGAAGATTGATAAGAAAGGCAGAGTAATTTTCTTTTTTATTGTTCGTTCATTCTCCATGGAATAGAAAGACCAAAATAAGTCTTATAGGGAAAGAAATTAACTGTTTTGAGAAAATTGCTCTCAACTATACCCAAACGTGTAGCAACTTCTCCAAAGAAGTTATTTTATTCTCAAACTCTATGTGTTCCCAAATGGGTTGGATCAGCCCATATAAAGCGACCCAATATCCGAATTTAATACCCAACACTATGACTACAAAAATTTAAGCCCTAAACCTCAACAGTAAGTTAGAGCCTTGGATTCTAACTAAATAAATGTAATGCTTTTATCTGCATTACGTTAAATTCTCTTGAATGAGCCACCAATAGAGACAAAAAAAGATTATTTCCACATGAGCAGTTGCTTTGGGAAAGCTATTCAGATTGTCCAAGAATTGTGTGAGATCAATTACCAAAAGAAAACAAGAATAATACTTTTTAAAAGACTCACTGAACGCACCTTAAAACTTTGTTGGGGGACAATTGATGTATATGGTTCTTACTAGATATGGAAAAAAATATTTTTTAAAAAAGTGGGATGGCACTATCATGGGAAGATTTCACAACAGATAATGCATTCAATCATTTTGCCAGTAATAACATATCCAATAATAAGCAACTCCCTCCTGAATGCAGAAAATAATACTACGTGCGTTGCAGGTGAGTATTCTTGATTCTTGAACAAACTTGACCTTCAGGAAAAATAAATTTATATATTTACTCAGATCTGAAGTTTACAACTAAACTTGAAACATTTATCAAAATTGCAGATTTTGGGATCATTTTTTTTGGCAGCCATGTGAAGAAGGAAATAATAATTGTATAGTCATCGGACAGACAGCAGCAGACCCCAAGTGTTGAGGACTCATGCAATTGCACATAGTACATACTACATATATATGGTAGCAGCTTCTTTATGTAATACTTTGACCTAGACACAGATAGATCATTTCCATTAATGCATTCGACTAGAATATGATCTAAAGGAAGAATCAGAGAAGCCAGGCTTCAAAAACCTGTCAAGGAGAGAACATATACAGCAAAAATAACAACTATGCCTCAGCAAGTCGGGGTCGGCTATATTAATCCTCATTTTCCATGTCACTCCAATTAATTAAACCCCTCTCAAGGAGAGAACATAGAGGTACAAGCTGTAACTTCCAGTTTACCTAATATCCTCCTCTATGGTTTTAATTCATGATGACTTCTATCAGTGCTTTCCATGGCAAAAGTCACCCTAATAAACACAACTTAAAAGCACATTGTTATTTCTTAATTTAAACTATATGTACCATTGACATTACTATTATTACAGTTGTAGCAACATCAGGTATTCTAAACAAGCATTTGATTTATAACAAAATGATTATCTTATTGGATTATCATAGCCCAGTGAAGAAGTGGATCACTTAGCTCCTTTTGAGTAATCAAAACCAATGCCTGCCTTGTATGAAAAATGGGATGGGATAGAGGCCAGAATGTTTCATAATCAAACAAAATAACTCTAACTAGTGTGTTAAGAAAAAATGAGCCTTGAGCTTAAATCAACCCTAAAAGCTAGCTCATGATGAGTGAAAATTGTCCAATGCCATATAAGAAGATAATAACTCATATTTCAACCAATGTGAGACTCTCACACCCTCGGCACGCCCAAGCCTCAAGGTCGTACATTTAGAGCGTTGATAACATAAGATGGGGGTCCAACATTGGGAAAATACCTAGAATAGCTAGAGATGAATATAACTTTAATACCATGTTCGAAAATAGACATTCGACTTAACTCAAAAAGTTAATTCATGAGGCAAGAATTATTCAATCCATATAAGGAGATAATAACTCATTGCCTCCACTAACGTCAGGCTCTAACAAAATGTTAAAACACTAAAAAGATACTTATATATGATCAAACACTCGAGCAACAATACTCCTATAAAAGCCAGAGACCCCAACCCCCACAAAAGAAGGCCATCTCCTAGTCAAACTCAGGGGAAGAGGAAAAACAGAAGGGGGAAACTTGAGTTAAATGGATACATGACTGAAGTACCAAACAAGACGTTCATAAATTTAACGCCCAACGTTTTTCGTAGCAACTATCTTTTACTGACTACAAGTTTCATACAAGCTCTAGGGAGTTCAAAAATCAGTCTTTCTTTTCCAGGCAACTTCAGTAGGATAGACGATGACTAGAATGCCGTGCACACTCTTGCTTGCATCAGACATCTTAATTTGGGGATACTAATTGGAGAGAAAAGTTATCACACCTAGTAACTTGTCTCTCCATGACCACGACAATCCAGAGAAACAGCTATAGCAACAACCTCTCACATTTTTCTCTATATGAAAACAGGACAACTGTAGCAATAGTTTGACCCTCTTCTCCACAACAATGAATGAATCCAACACAACCAAAGAAGAATATCATGTTGGACTTTAAGCATTGGGCTTTAAAGACTTTAAGCATTGGGCTTTAAAGTCTAAGAGTGTGAATTGGGAAATGGTGGGAAATAAAATGGAGGGAAATGAAAATTTGAATCAAGTGAGCTTTTGTCATGAACTTTGTATCACATTGGTAAAAGACAAATACACTTGTGTGTATAAATATAAGATCACTTCTTAGAGCTCTTAAAAGGAGTTGAAGAGAATGAACTCTCGCGTCGTCGTCATCGCTCGCTCGGCTCGGCTTCGGCTTCGGATAATGATCGATAAGATTATTTTTGGACAAAATTTAATAATTAATTAAATGCCACAGTTCATTAACGGAATTAACTGGAATCCAAAAAACGCTGCCTTTGCTGAACGTTGCTTTCCCTCCTGAACAGACACTTTTCCTGAACAGACATCCATTAATTGCCTATAAATTCTGAGGCATGGCTTCTTTTTCGACACACTAAAAATAATACAGAACTTCCTTCCTTCTGGAAATCCTGCATTTTGCTTCGCAGAATCTCTTCTAAATTCGTAAGTGTGATTTTGCTCCGTTCTTTGAGTTCGTTGGTATCCTGCAGTTTGTATTGCCACTGTTGCAGGAAGGTTCATTCCGTTTCATCCTGGGAGGATTTAATCAATTACCTTGGCAACGTGTGAGGGGGTTAAAATTCCTTAAGGACATACAAGCAAATTGTGGACTCAGAATATTTCTTATAGTTTACTGTTTTTACAGTTTTTCTTCTAACAGTCTTTCTATTTTTTTTGTGTTTTAACACAGTAGCGATAATAAGCTTAAGGAATTTTAAAAATCTAATGTTTCTGTGTTGAAATATTTATTAAACTGTTATCTATATTTTGTATACTGGTTTGGAGACTAAAGCTTTCGTGCTTTCTACTCCAATAATTGTTCTGTCCGGTTTAAAGTATAAGAAAACTTTACCGGAATAATAAACGTACGGGTTTGAAGTACATAAAAACTTCACCATTGTTACGTGTTGTATGTTTGGTTTGGTATTCAGTTTGAAGATATCAAAACTTCACTGATTTAATAAAGTTCTATTTTGGTTCCAACTCTACAGAAACATGACGAATGAAAACCAAACTAATGGAAATGTTGCGGGAACGGGTGCTACTGTTATGAGTGTTGTTGCCTCGTCAAGCCGTTCAACTCTTGCTCATGCTATGGCACCAGCAAAAAAAAACCCGGAAAGTTTTTTGGTATTGACTTCAAATGTTGGCAAATGAAGATGCTCTTCTATCTTACTACGTTGAGTTTGCAGCGATTCATCAAGGAGGATCCTCCGGTCCTGGCTGAAGGCACTCCGGATGACGAATGATTTGTTGTAACTGAAGCATGGAAACATTCTGATTTCTTGTGCAAAAACTACATTTTGAGTTGTTTGGAAGATAGCTTGTACAATGTCTATAGCGTCATGGAAACTTCAGAAGCGTTATGGAATGCGCTTGAGAAGAAGTACAAGATTGAGGATGCCGGACTTAAGAAGTTCGTGGCTGCAAGGTTTTTGGATTTCAAGATGATTGACACTAGGTCGGTCATAACTCAAGTCCAAGAATTACAAGTCATTGTGCATGACCTCCTTGCTGAAGGTATGACCCGAATCAATAATTTTATTAATAAGATTTATCTTGTTATTAATTATGAATTTATTATTGAAGGTATGGTCATAAATGAGGCCTTTCAAGTCGCCGTTTTCATTCAGAAATTACCTCAGTTGTGGAAGGACTTTAAGAACTATCTAAAACACAAGCGGAAGGAGATGACACTTGAAGACTTGATTGTTCGTTTGAGGATAGAAGAAGACAACAAAAATGCTGAAAAGAAGTCACGTGAAAACTCGACAATAATAAGGGCTAAGTTGTTGAGGAGGCGCCACAAAATAAGAAGAGAAAAAAGGCTTCTGGACCAAAGAATTACCCAAGAAAGAAAAAGTTCAAGGGTAATTGCCACAACTGTGAAAAATCTGGGCATAAGGCCGTGGATTGTCGTGCACCAAAGAATGATAAGAAGAAGAAGAATCAAGCTAACATGGTTGAAAATGCTGAAGAAATGGAGGACTTGTGTACCATATTGTCTGAATGCAACTTGGTAGGAAATCCTAAAGAATGGTGGATTGATTCTGGAGCCACCCGCCATGTTTGTGCTAACAAGGAGTTATTTTCTTCTTATGCCTCCGCAGGACCCGACGAGACAATTTTCATGGGAAATTCGTCTACAACCAAAATTGAAGGAGTTTTGCAAGATTGCGTTGAAGATGACGTCGGGAAAAATTGTGACTCTAAACCAAGTTCTCCATGTTCCAGAAATTCGCATGAATCTTGTGTCTACCTCACTTCTTGTCAAGAATGGATTTAAATGTATTTTTGTTTCTAATAGTGTTGTACTAAGTAAGAATGATGTGTATGTAGGGAAATGTTACCTGAATGAGGGCCTTTTTAAGCTAAATGTAATAGCAGTTCCTATCAATAAAGTTAATGTTTCTTCTTACTTACTTGAGTCAAACACTTTATGGCATGCACGCTTAAGTCACATCAACTTCAAAACATTGCGAAAAATGATAAATTTAGAAGTATTGCCAAAATTTGATTGCATTAATTCTAAATGTCAAATATGTGTGGAATCAAAGTATGCTAAGCATCCTTATAAGTCCGTTGAAAGGAATTCAAGTCCTTTAGACTTAATTCACACAGATATTTGAGACATGAAGTCAACACCATCTCGCAGTGGGAAAAAGTATTTTATTACTTTTATTGACGATAGCACGAGATATTGCTATGTTTATTTACTTAATAGTAAAGATGAGGCAATTGATGCTTTCAAGCAATACAACAGTGAAGTTGAAACACAACTAAACAAAAAGATCAAAATGATAAGAAGTGATAGGGGTGGCGAATATGAATCTCCTTTTGAAGAAATATGTTTGAAAAATGGCATTATTCACCAAACAACTGCCCCTTACTCTCCACAATCTAATAGAATTGCGGAGAGAAAGAATCGAACGTTGAAAGAGATGATGAATACATTGTTGATAAGTTATGGTTTACCACAGAACTTGTAGGGGGAAGCTATACTTACAGCTAACCGAATAATCAACCATGTACCTCATAGTAAAACACAGTCCATTCCTTATGAAAAATAGAAAGGAAGGAAGCCCAGCTTGAATACTTCAAAGTGTGTGGGTGTTTAGCTAAGGTACAAGTTCCTAAACCTAAAAGGGTTAAGATAGGTCCAAAAACAGTTGATTGTGTATTTATTGGATATGTAACCAATAGCAAGGCATATCGTTTTCTGGTTCATAAATCAGAAAATCCTGAGATTCACGTTAATACGATAATAGAATCAGATAATGCTGAATTCTTTGAAACTATTTATCCGTATAAAAGGGAAAGTGAATTGACTTACCAAAAGTCAAAACGACCTCGGGAGGAAATAATATATGGTATGCCTAATGAGGAAAATCCAAGAAAAAGTAAATGTTAACGGACATCTACTTCATTCGGTTCAGCTTTTCTGACTTTCCTGCTAGAAAATGAGCCTCGTACCTTCAAGGAAGCAATGTCTTCCTCATAAGCACAATATTGGAAAAAAACGGTCAATAGTGAAATAGAATCCATATTGAGCAACCATACTTTGGGAATTGGTTGATCTTCCTCCAGGTAACAAAACATTGGGTTCTAAATGGATTTTCAAGAAGAAAATGAAAGACGATGGTACTATTGACAAATACAAGGAAAGACTTGTTGTCAAAGGATTTAGACAGCGAGAAG